TGCTCTTATTCAATATATATATAACTAAGAAAAATAACAAGTTTTATTTACTGCGTATAAGCTTCAAATATATACAACTTATAAAATAAGTTAAAAATATGGAGAAAACATAGAAAATATTATAATGAAGATTAATAAAAAAGGAAAAAAAAATTATTAAAATTAAATATTTTTAAAAAATTTAATTGAAAAATTATTAATAAGTTTGAAAACAAAATAAAGAAATGATATAACCTCGTCATCAGCTCACGCGATTATATTCGTCAAAAGGAGTGCTTTCTAATATTGTATTAATGTAGCCAAAGCAAAATATATCAATACAATAGTGTGAGGAGCACCCAAAAAAATTGAAGCGAAAATAGAACATATTAAGAAAAATCTACGAAACAAAATATATTAAGCAAAAAATATAAAATAAAATGCAAGAAAAATACAGAATAAAATACAAAATGTAAGCGAGTAGCGAATTCAAATGAACTTACACGTTCCGGAATTTTTCAAAAATGATTTAAAATATTTTCGTAATACGTTTGCCACATTGCAAAATACGAAAATAGAAGCGTAGATACATTGCGCACATTCATTTTCGGGACAGTCCAATTTAACTAACGAATCAAACGCTCTTCAGTGCTGCAGTGAGAAAGCCCCATAAGAGGATCCCCCTATTTACGCTTCTATTATCATGTTTTGTAGTCTGGAACTCATCAAAAAATATTTTAAATCATTTTTGAGAGATTCCGAAACGGATCAAGAAAAATGACAAATCATTCTTAGAGCTTCAAGCATGATCATTCGAATTAGGTCAAATCAACCTGAAATTTTACATTTTGCAATGTAAAATTTTCCGAAACAAAGTTTTGCTGGCAAATGGAAGATTTTGAAGCATACCTGCCAACTTTTACTCTTTCTGAGAATGGATTTTCAGAGTGGTTGTAAAACAATAAACGAAAAACAATCTGACTCGAAAATATATTTATATTTTGATCCCGTAGGAATTCGCTTGTGCAAAGATTATTATGCTTTTACATATTTGTTATAATTATTTATATGTAGTGGTGGCCAAATTCATTTATAATTATCATTATAATTCAAGAAGTTATTTGGAATAACCTGAATATGGCTACCACTTTAAATATGAAAATAAAATCTTTGGGAAAATCCGGAAGAGTTGGCAAGTATATTGAAGTGGGCGCCTCAATAACCCCAGGCTAAGATAGCCACCGTGACTTCTGAAGTGTTTCCATATTTTTGTCCAACCCTTATGTCTTATAAGCAAATTGGTAGCTGACTGAAGATTTTCTGTTAGTTTATATGCAAACCTGCAGTCTCTTTTTTTATTAAAGCATTTAACCCCATACTGCAAAACATTAGTTGTGCAGATAAATGGTTAAGATCTAAGTTTACAGGGCACATATTTTTGTTGTAAATTTACGTGCAAACCTGCAACAACTTTTTTTTAATTAAAGCTCAATACTGCTAAATATGAGTTCGGTAGATGAATGATGAAGATCTAAGTTTACAGGGTACTTAACATTGTTTTTTATTTACATGCAAACCAACAACCACTTTTTTAAATTAAAGCTTAATACTGCAAAACATGAGTTCGACAGATAAATGGTTAAGATATAGGTTTACATGGTACTTAACATTGTTTTTAATTTACATGCAAACATACAACCACTTTTTTTTAATTAATGCACTTTACCCTATATTGCAAAACACGAGTTCGACAAATAAACGGTTAAGATCTAAGTTTACAAGGTACTTATTTTTGTTGAAAGGAAATGCATTTCTTATTATTCAGATCTTGCTCTTATTCAATTTATACATATAAGTAGTTTCGTTTTTGTTATAAATTTAGTAGTTAGAGCGTATTCGTAATTGTGATTTTGCTATTACCATGGTACTCAATGCATAGAGTATATTACAATGTACAAGACATACATAAAGCTTTTATGGTACTAATTAAATCTTTACATTTTGCACTTTGAGAACTCTAAAATACTATTTAAATTACAATAAGGGCTGATTGATTTAAGCTCATAGACATAGTCATATTATTGCTCAAGACGTTTACCTTTTTATCTTGATATTGTGACAACGTGAAGTAATTTTGCGTAAACTAATCATGATACAGAAAGAAGTAAAATTAATTTTTCACTATTTGCTACAATTGCAACGTCATTGGCTGAATTGCAGCAAAAATAAGAAATCAGAGTTATTAACAGTTAGAGAAAAGACTGCAGCTCCAATCTCTTGAAGTGTTATAATTTAAATTATACGTATCAATAAACGATTAAAAATAGAGACTAATTAATTGAATTTATCTGATAAAATAGCATCGCCGCTTGTGTAAAAGTGTGTTAGGGGTTTGATTTTGGAATCTTCATTTAGCATTTCGGTTTTAAAAATATTATAGTAGTTTACAGTTGAGCACTTTAGTGGTTTTTTATAAAGTTGTGTTTTAAGTGTCATCAAAGTTTCAGTAAGGTTCTTTAATTTAAAATCTCTATGTATATCTTTTTTTCGAATAAAATATGAGACTCCACACATTTTTCTCAGTAATTTATTTTGAAAGTCATAAAGTTTTTTGGTTTTTCATTATATGCATAGTTTTTTCTTAAGTGACATTTTGGGGCAGTAAATTAAACTTAGATGCAATATTGATACATTTCAATTGATAATAATAGAATAATCTGTCAACGAAATATTTAGATACTTTACTTATAAAGTTTTTGACTTTTGATGTCACTGCATAGGTGTCAGTGGAATACAAAAGATTTAATTTTGTTTAAAATTGTTAATTCTACTAAATTGTATGAACCCAAAATTAAAAAGAAATTTTTAAGTATAGTTAAGCACATAGATAAATTTTTAAGTTATAGTATTCTATTTGAAATAACTTTAGTTTTTTAAAATAACATCTTCAGGAAAGTTAGTTTTCCAATACCAATCAACCACTTCTTTCATAAAGTTAATTTTTGATTTTATTTAGTTGGAATAATTAGCAGGAATGTCAACTCGCTACGCTTTGTGGGTAAAGTGTTTCTAGTGGTAACAAAACTTTTGTTTCAAAGAGTGATTTTTAGTTCTGTAAATTTGATTTAAAACTATTACACCTATCACTTTATAAATAATTCAAAGCTTATATGCAAAGCCACTTTGGACCTTTTAATTCGTGAGGAGACTTTCAAAATTCTTAAGATATTAACCAAGTTTGAGCAAATTTTAATTATTAACGCGTTGAACGCCGCCCTAATTTTACATGGATTGCCCGTATAGGTAAACTGTAATTAACTACAAACTAAAACTGCAATATTAGACAGACTTTGCGAGTTTCAAAAGGTTTAGCATGACAAGATATATGTGACAAAAAAAAGAAAAAGGTTTAACATGACATATATCAGAGATGCCAACTGCTCCGGACACGCCAAAATAATTAAAAAAAACGGTAAATAACTACCAAGTAAATTTTGCAAATATTTGACTATTTTTGCTTGCTTTTAAGAAGGCGTAGCATGACGTAAGTACAATAAAGTGGTGAATTATATAAGCCTACGAATTATTTAGAAATAGTGGTGGATAAAAATCTACTAAATTGAATTTATTAAACCAAGAATCACAATTGATAAACTACCACCTTAAGAAATATATTTGCTGTCCGGAGCAAGTTGGCATCTCTGCATATATGACAAAAGTGGTGAATGACATAAGACTACGAATTGTTTAGAAATAGTGGTGGATAAAAATCTAATAAATTGAATTTATTAAACCAAGAATCACAAAAATTAAGTAAATTTTGCATATATTTTCTGCATTTCCATAAAAGAGTGTAAATTTTATAGTTCTATATCATGTTATACGCTGTCAGCCAGCTGTTTTTCGCAGCCTATGTGGAAGGTCAGTGTCAGCAAGTGGTGGCAGACGCAGCCTGATTGTAATTTCATTGTCAGCCACCGGTGGTTGACGCGGCTTAAATGTAATTTCAGAGTCAACCACCGGTGGTTGACGCGGTCTAAATGGAAGTCCAGTGTCAGCCACCAATGGCTGACGCGGTGCTCAACGTGTTAAATTTCAATCACTTTATAGTACCTTCATCGGAAAGGCATACCTGATTCAGTTGCGCTACAGATTTTCGAAATAAGGGATCTGACAGGATTGCTTTGTTTTCCTCAAAAGACATTATCAAGTGGTAAAAAATAAAAAAATAAAAATTTTCAAAAGTATAGATAATTCAGACAACTCCTCCAAAACCTCCCCTCGAGGCAAGTCTGCCAACTACTACGCTTTTTGTAGAATATTTCATAACGTGGTAGACATTTAAACACCAAAGCTTACAGAATTTTCGGTAATTTTGCCATCATTTTAACTGTCTCACCATGAAAGAGCTGGAT